CCTACTAGGTAAGCATATATTAATATCCCGCATAACAGGAATCTAAAAATAAAAAACGATAACGCTTTACACAAACTATGAATGGTTTAAGTTTGAAAGTGGTATTTCTAATCACTTCAAACAAATAGAACTAGAATTAGTTTAACTAATATCAATAAAGTATTGTTTACTTTTAGCTAAAATATTCCGGTAGTTATTAACGTCTGGATTACTGTTTCTATTCTTTAACGTAAATATAAGCTGGTAGAAATAGTGACTGAGATTGGTGCGCGTTTAGTTTAATATAGGTTGTTTGTGGTTGAATCTCAGTACTGATGTTTACAAATTGACCAGGAACCAACATCTTTCACCTCAAACAGCCGGCGAGATGCCCATATGCCAACAAATAATGATTAAGTACTTCAAGTATTTATAAACTAAAGAGTATTTAATAGTGGATAAGATTTGTGTCTTCTGTTCGGTTACCTGAGCTGTTCAGTTCAGCTATTGTCCTTGTCATCGTTCATTGTTCCTAATCATCCAGCTCAGAGGAGGAAACTCTGTCAAAAAGAATGAATGATTAGAGGAATAGTCAATCATTCGGAAAAACTAATAAATTGAAAATAGTGTTTTCAAAAGTAGAGATATCGAACACCACGAATGTGTGTTATTTTGATGTATGATGGTTTGAGATATTCGACAAGAATCCATGGTCTAATATTTTACCCAGTTGATACTTTTCAACAAGGTGTGTTTGAGATACTAAAGAAAATAACGATATCCATATCATTTTGTGTAGTTGTTAAATAAGGCATAACTAAGCAACTCGATTAACATATTTATTCTATTTTTACATTGAATTATTCTCTAATTTTACGTAAGTATACTGTCTCGCGTTTACTGAAAGAAATAGATCGTAAGTTATCAGTTAGAATCATATGTTTATAACTGTTTTATTGAAATGTTTTAACGTTTTTAGTCTATGTTTAGGATGTATAGGATGAAAAATAATGAATTCAATTAGGTTCTGATTGTATGGGAAGGGCAGATTTTTTTTCCTTTAATTATTATCAATAAAAAATTAACCATCAGATTCTAAGGATAAAGTAACGCCCAGAAATTTATGAACTAATAATGCTTATTTATAAAATGTGCATACCCAAACCTTTTCACATGATTATTATACCATTGAATGTGATATAACTATTAGCAACAAGCAAATAAATATACGTGCGTATATTTTGCAAAAAAAATATTACTGTCGAACTATATAAATTTTATTGTTTTTATTTTCTATATTTTATCTTTATACATTAATTATTATCATCAACATGATTGGAAGACAATCCCTTTCACCGTTGATGAATATAATGTTAGCTGAACTAATCGATTTTTGTATTCATAAAAAGTAGTCAGATTCAAAAATAAATATATATTACTAACTTAAGTGTTCATTTATTTTCCCGGATTAACATCAGTAATATTATCCATAAATTTATTTTCATTTACATTTTTATTGATGAAGACAAACTTATGTAGTAAGTGTAGTATAATTTGTTGATCTTTTTAGTTTTATGAAAAAGGGACGCACATCATCAATGATAATATATTGTTCATTATCAAATAATTCGATTCTGCTTATGTCTAAAAAGCTGTCTGTCTGTTAAGAAGTTTTACACAATATTTTGAAGTAACTTTATATTGTCTAATCTAAAATTGTGGTAGCAAAAATTATGATTTATTAATTTACCGACATATTTCTAAAACTCTTTACTAGTATTTAAGTAAGCTTTGTGAAAAAATCTGTTTCACAATAGTCTTCAATGCTTCCAAAGGAGTAAAGTATAATTTTAGTAATCATAGATTTAAGAAATGAGTTTTTTAAGACTAGGAAATTTTTATTTCTCACAAGTGGAATAAATGGTATTCGGTTAGCATAAGAACAAGTCTAATTATTATATAGATAAATACGATTAAGTTATAGTGGATGAAGATGTACACTGTCCAAATAGATCTTGTATAAAAATATCACTGGCAAGAGAGTAACATGAAATAATATATCAGATAAGTTTATCGTTTTACTCATGTTAATATAAATTTTTAGAAGATATTTTAGTCACAAGATAGCATTAGCAATATAGTCAAGAAGCATTCTAAATAAATGAATTTTTCCTAATGTAGTAGTTGAAAGAGAATCATACTTACTAGTTTACTTTACCACATCGGTCACAATCTCCTGGATGAAGTCGTGAATGAACATTTTCGAAAAGTTCTAAATGCAGGCAAACAAAAACTTAGTACTTAGTTGCAAATGATCCATCTGCCACAGTTAGGTTATTATGATGAAACTTACATAATATATGTGCTAAGAGAATCTCAACAAAAGCTTTTGACTTTATATTGCAGTTTCTGACTATATATGATGATTTAAATTAAAAATCTTTATGTAATAACATAAAAAGGAATGATTTCTATTACTAAATTTATTATTAAATCGTAAATCAAGTCTAACAGTAGTGAATTATGAAATCAAAAATTTTTCACTCTCAATTTTCGCCTTTGTCGATAAAAATGTTTTATTAATCTTCTTGGTATATACTCCTTCTGGAGAAAAAATATGATTCTCATGATACAATTTTGTCATCATGTCCTTTCAATTGATACAGTTGAATGTCGTCTCATTAATGAGTTTTTGATGAAATACTGTAATACTGTAATGAATTTCGCCAAAACGTTTCAGTTTTCAATTAAAATTCGTAATTTAATTCCGAAGAGTAGTGTATGATTTCAATACTGGCTAACCTGAAAAAAAATTTCAGATTTGATGAATAGGTATGCAACTATAACTAGTGGATTTTATACTGTAAGTACGGTAGTATGGAAATAAATAAATAAATTTAACTGTACAACTAAAACGATGGATACTATGTGAGTGTTGATTGCATTTTTTTTTATATCACAAGTTACATGACAGTTTTTATCAAATTTTTCACCATTATCAGATATACTAAATTTATTTCTATTAAAAATCAGTCTTAAATAGATCAAAATATTATTATCACTAGTGAAATCAAATCGTCCAAAACATAAACATACAAAATATATTTTACGTCACAATAATTACAGTACAAAATTTGTATTATCACTAACTGATTATAATTATAAAGATGCGAATTTTGGTATGGTACAACATCCTGTCAAAAATATATTTCAGAATGTTGAATGAAACTCATATTCAAAGGACATATTTTGTATTGCTTATTATTGAAATCACTGTTAGACCACAAATAAGGAACGTGGAGGCACCGGACAGCCGTTCCTTCCTCGTGTGAGACTTATCAACCACACGCATCCACGACTACTGCTACTCGCAGGATTTGAGCCCGGAACCCTCGGTCTTGCACCTAACCTCTGGGCCAGTGAACCGGACGCGACTGTGTTAATATCTAGCTGTGATCAATCTAGGGATTTTGAGCGACCTAACCCATTTATCTTCGGTAGTAACTGCTTATTACCGATGAGTGGAAAGCAACATTTAGTTGTTTTGTCATTGTTTGCACCTTTTTAGAAATGCACTCTAGAGAACAGACATGGTTGAAGAACTCTAGAACAAGTTCATTGTCAAGGCGTATATATATATGTATAATTAATTCATAGTATTCCGAAACAGATTGACCTGAATCATATAATGATTGACTACTTTTTCTTCGTTTTTTTACGAGTAAGCCAATTAAAATTCCAATCGGTAAAAAAATTAAGATCAAACGAAACTCTTTAAACAATGGGCAGTGCATCAAGCGTACATGGAGGTGGTCGTAAAACGAAACAAAAGGTCATGGAAACACAAGTATTAAAAACTTCAGGTAATACTATCCCTGACTCCATAAAAAGCCAATACTTGTTTATTTTGCAAATAATTTCCCAAGTTATTTTTTATTATTATGAGTGTTGAGTTTGAGGATGCTAAAAATAAAATTATCTTTCAAAAATGTTTACAGCTACGATACTTTTACCTTTGATGGTAGTGGTTTTTTGTTAGTTTCCCTGAAAGTTTAAAATTAGGAATTTCTGTTGCTGAGATTTTCATACTCATTGCTTCATTTTTAATCCGTAGATAGGTTTCAATATTAAGTGACACGCATTCGTGGATCGGCATAAATTATGTGATAGTTACAGCGTTTAAATGAACTGTCTGTTGCATGCTGACGAAATTTAGCCATTATAGTCTAGCTAAAATAATTATCTTTTATTTCATTATACTATGAAATTATTGAGTGGGTCAATAAGCTTTCATTTATTTCAATGATTGATAAGTGTTATACGCAGTAAGGGATAACAGGACAGTTTAATGCTATCAAATAATGATCTACTGAGATTAAAAGTAAATTAACAAAATCAATTATTGACGATAATTTATACAATTTTCTTTAGTGGAAATAAAATGTTCGCAGAATAGTACAAAGTTTCAAACTAACTGATCACTTAGGCGGATGCATGATATCGAAAGAATTGACCATACTATGAATACAACCTAGGTTGATTCATTCAAATAAATAAAATTTGTTAGTTTGATAGGAAAAAATATGTAGAATTCATGATGATGAAGACAACAATATACTTAATAAATCTCTATGAGTATAAATTTGAATTTCTAACTTTTCCTAATCAATTCTCAGTAATTTCGTCTGCGAATAAATCATCAAATTAAATTACAATCACATTCTTACTGCTCATGAAGAACAAAGTAATGGATGGCAAAAAAAAGTTATCACTGCATTCATTGTATGGATGACTATGTTTGATAAGTTATCTGAACAGTGAGTCGTGATAAATAACTAACTGTACACTAAATTGTAACGATGTTTCACAAAGTCACTACTCGCATTTTTCTTGTTAGTTTTTGAATTGACAATCAATATGCATGAAGTAACCCACTTAAATAACAAGTGTAGAACTTGTTATACCTATTCAAATCATTATTTCGTGTTAGTACCACTGTGTTTAAAATTTTTTTTTTAAAGATGGTAATATTAAATATAAATACAGTTTATACATATAGTTATTATTCTCTTCTAGAAAACAACAACAACATTTGGTAAATGCTTAATTTTAAATCCACTAAGGCAGTAGTAATACCACAAAGTAAACTGTCACATGGAACAATCAAAATTAGTTCTTTTTAGGATGTATAAGATGGCAGCATATTCAACTGAACCATTCAATTTAAATAAAATCGCTTCTAATATTATTGGTTATGTATGTAAATCACAATGTATATTTAATATGTTCACTAATATTAAAACTTGTTCACGTTCACTTTTTACTTTGGTATATTTTTAGCTGAGAATGTAAATATAGAACATGACAACAATTTAGAAGCTGAACACAATAAAGGTATAGTTTATTGATAACAATGTAACAATCTATTAAATTTTGGGTTTTATCATATAAGTACACAACAGTCTATTACAAGTGTCTCAATCAATTATCGTATGGCAAATACAATTATCCACAGAATAAACTATATGAATACGAAATAAATGAGAAAACAAGAGAAAATATTAAAGTAATATGGTAATAACCAGTTGGGTGAATTTATTAGAATACATATAAAAACATGTTTTAGCAACGTTATACAAATAATCTTAAATTGTTTGAAAAACCCTGTGTACAAAAAGAGATTTAACGAGTAATAATATGACTAAAAACACTGCTCTTTACCACATCAATATTTATCTCATATTCCAAAAAGCCAAACAATAAATGATACTGATTTAGGAAAATTTGTTAAGACGTTTATACATTCTACTTTTAACTGTAGATTTTAATGCATTTCCAATATAATCTTTATAGCAACGAATAAAGCTGGAGGAACATATCACTGTATAAGGGCAGATAAAAAAGCTGCCATTGTTGTTCATGGATGTACTGAGGAATACCAAACATTGGTTGATGAGTTACCTGAAATCATTATGAAACAACTTGGACCTAATATGATAGCGCATCCTATGATACTAGTAAGCAATTTAAAATTTTATCTATGAAAGATTTTGCAACTTAATTTAATGTCATATTTTTATCAGTAATCAATGTTTATGTAAGGTAAAGAAAATAATGAATAAATTCCAGAAGTATGTGATTCATGAAATGTGATACCATCAACTTTTAAAACAAGTTGTAAAAACCTAATGAAAATGATAATTATCGAGCATAGTTCAACTGTAAATACCGATAGAAATTTTTATGATTTTGAACAAACAAATCATGCTTATCAAAGTCAACAACATCAAAAAACACAAACAAAATGTCGTTAGATGTAGAAACTTTGACTTAGTATTTGATTAGCTCATCACATTGTGTATAGCAATGTATTAGTTGATGGAATCACGAAATTTGATCTTCGACACTCTATAAATAAAACTTTTATCTTACAGTTTGATTGTTCAGAGGGATTTAAAACATTGAGTTTTAGCAAAAATGCCAAACTGGCTGGGTTGTAGACATATTAAATCAATAAATCTTAAGACTAAATATTGGACTGAAAGTTGTTCATGAATAATCGGATGTTAGTATTATTCCGTGAACTGTGATTGTTTGTTTATGGAAAGTATATTGATGTTAAAATGACTAGAGAAAATCGACAGTCTACAAGTAGTAGATTGAAGTCTCAATTGCTCAGTTACGACATCTCTGACAGTGAAGTTAGTTGATGCAACAAAAAAAATGGATGTGTCTTACTGCTGAAAAGTAGTTCATATTTACACATCTACATTATAAAATAAAAATGTCTTTTCTAAGGTGACTCATGAATGTGCAAACAATCTGCTCTCCTATTTATTAATGTTGAATTTTGTGTTTATGATGTGTGAAATACTTATTAAATCTTAGAATAACTTGCTGAAGTGAAAGTGAAAGTTTTGTCCGTGAAGCAATAAGTGAATGAGGAAATTCATCCAACAAATGATCATTAGAATAAGGAATATAAAGTGAAAATCAAATCATTGTTCCAAAACAAATATACCATTGGTACAAGGCAAACGTTACAAGTGATTCTATATCAGATAGTGCAAACTTCGATGTTCTCTAAGATAAAATTCTAATCAAGTTTAAAATATCGACCAGCATTAAACTATTCTGTCTACTTTATGCAGTCATTTGTTTTGTAATTATTCTTTGTTTTGGAGTTTTAAATTAGAAAGTATGTTCTGATTTAATGCATATCACTAGTTGTTACATGACCTATGTCCTACTAACGCTAACATAACACCAACAAAATTCAATTAATACAAAATGTTGCTTATTTTTTATACGTATCATTCATTAGTGTTATGATAGTTTCTATTGTTCATTTGAATATTTATTTTTAAACAACCAGGGTAAATATTGTCTTGTAAGAGATAATGAAAATGATCAAGATCATTTATTACACGTGCCAATTGAGAAACAGAGAAAAATTACAATACAAAAATCAAAATTACAATTACCTATTTATGGTTTATCTCAACCGTCATATGAAGAAATGAAAAAACACATTAACATGTTACATCATAATGTAAGTGAATTGGAAACATTGTTATCAGCAGTAAATTTTTTTTTAATGCAGAAATAATGAAGAAGGAGAAATCATGTATGATCATTAAAGTAGACAAAGAGTGAAAATCAAATCATACGATCATCTGTTTTCTTGGTGAATGAGTTGGTATATTTTTAATGATTATTTAATAAAAATAATCATTTAAAAAATATATATAATTATGATTGTATACGGATGTTTGATTGATTACTTAGTATCATATCTACTAATTATGATTACAAAATGAAGTCATGTAGTTTTGTAAAGAAAAGCGTTCATAAATATGTAGAGACGTTGAATACGTAGAGAAGTTGATAAGATGTATAAAATTAGTCACAGAATTGATGAATTGAATGTCAGAGACAAAGTTCCATAACTTACCCATTAGAATATTGATAATGAAAGGACAATTATCTTAGTAGAATAACTAATGGTTTACATTATCAATATATTATTTGAGAACTTTGAAGTGACATCGAGAATAAGTGGTTTGAAATCAATATCTCACTCTACACACATTAAAAAGCTCTGTCTCTTTAAAATTAGAAAATGGAATTTCTTGAGGGGTGGACAACAGCAAAATATTCAATTTAAAGCATCCCCATGTGTCGTCCTTAATCACTCAATATCAAAATAAAATACACTATAATATGAACTCATTTAGACTAGTGTTCAAATTAGAACTTAACTATTAGAACTCGACTAGTATGAGTGATAACTAAATAATGATGGAATTAAGTTAAACTGCTCTGCCAAGTGACTTAATCTATATTAATATAATCATTATTAATAATCTGGGGGAAAACTTTTGATATTAACAATGCTTTGAAAAATTGCATATCAGTAAACATTACTACTGTCAAAAATGTAGTAATATATGGTAATGGAACGTAAAATAATTTAACAGAAATCAAATCACGAAGATTAAAAATTAGTAGACACCTATATTCGGTATTCTTCCATAAATGATGGATAATCAGTTTCACTTAAATTCTTGCTATCATTTATTTTATTTCAGAAAATGTAGTTAAATTATTTGAGGAGATTTTGTGCAGTATAATTATTTGAATATTCGGATTTTTTTAGTGCATAAATTCTGTCACTTAGATGTTTGAAAAAATTACTAACTCCAAAAAAATGAAAAAATTTCATGATACCCTTCTGTTAAGTTTACTAATACTTACTTACGCCTGTTACCCTCAATGGAACATAGGTCACTGACCAGCATCCTCCTGGGCTTCCCTTTCCAGTTTTGTTCAATTTTGGTTCATTCTTCTCATTTCTATATCCATTTCTCAGCGTAATGTGTTCCTTATTCTTCCTCTTTGAGGTTGGTCTTGAGAATTCCAGGAGAGGGCTTGTCTTATGACGTAATTGAGTGCCTTCCTCATTGTGTGTCTTATTCACTTCCACCACTTCTTCCTGATTTCCTCCTCCAATGGAATCTGGTTTGTTCTCTCCCACAAGTTTGCAAATACAAAATCCTAAATCTAACCGGTTGATGTAAGAATTAATTTACTACAATTACACCTGATTATATAACACTGAGGAAGATAGTTTTAAATCATTTCGAGATAATTTATTTTTAAGATAAAATCGAAAAAATTGGTCATTGTTGATTAGCAATAGGAACATGCTCCAAGTTCACAGCTTTCCATCGACTGCATCTAAAACATTTATTATCAGATAGAAGATAATTAAAGTAAATAGGTCATTTTTGATTTGAGTAAATTCATAGACAGTTTTTGAATTATTCACCTTATTTACATTTATCTTTTCTATCTTTTTTATTTTAAGAAATGTCTAGTTGTCAATGTACGAAGTGATCCATGCCTTTTTACATTTGATTCAGACGATTGGTTTCCATATGCTGTAAGAGAGTATAGTTCAGTTCAAAATGTCCTGGAAAATCAACATCAATCCGGATTAGATTTGGAGGATATGGAAGTCAAGTGTCGAGAAGATGTATGTCTACATTATTTTTATTTTTTGTTTTGTCATCTATGTAAATTATTGCAAAAAATTTACTTGAAAGAAACACTGGACTCTAGAGTTTGAATAAATATTATCTACCATTCAAAAAGCAATTAACATATATTTTTGTCTCATGAGTCCGTTTCCAGGTGGTGGACTGAGAATGTACATCTTTTATGTTTTCTAAAATAAAATTATTGACTTTTATCTGATTTCCAGGACTGAAAGCATTTGAAACAATTCTGTTTATCAACTTAAAATGCTTAGACTATAAAACGATTGTTGAATTTATTTCAAAGTTTAATCAGTATTCTGTAAGCTTATTCAGTACAGATCCTCAGTAATTAATAAACTATTTGAGTAAAGCAAAAAACGTGATAAACTCCCTTGAATTATCTCAACTTGATATTGGGAAAAATATACTATGATAATTATTAGTTTAAGATTTCTGATAGTTATAAAAATTCATTTAAAAAAACATTAATAGAAAATAATTTTTCTGCCTCCAAATGTCTTTCATTCGTAACAGTCACAATGTTCCCGCTTCTACAAAATTAGTCTCATTATAAGAGCACTTTTGTAATAAATACTTTTACAATTTAGTGACCGAAATAATTATCAGTTATATTATAGAAAGCATACCCGCCTTCCATATCAGATATACATACCTATAACAACAAGTACAAAGCCTATTTTCATATTTTTCTCATAACTAGTATTTCAAGTCATGAGACTATTTTATATAGTAGGAATTAAATATGTATTTTAGCTTGAATTACACCTTCGATTTCTACCAACATAACCCAGTGCAATATCGTCAAAATTCAGTCCAACTTAGATATTAGATAGTAAAGACAAAGTCTATTCTGCCGCATATCAACAGTGAAACTAGTCCATTTTATTATTCAGACATAAAGAAACATTTAACAATCTCAAACATTATTTACCTATTGTCATATAATGCATTTTGAATGATAACAATAATAATACATATACGCGCAACCTTTTTTACTGTATTTAAATAGGTTATCACAATAGTTAAAGCTAAAAGAGAAAGTGTATTTTATTTCTATGATGACATAACATTTTTTGAAAACCAACCAGTAGCACATGTAGCTACAGCACCGGATTATTTGTTAGTTGGTGAAGAAGTATACAATGGAGCGATTGTTGGTAAACATGGTATACGGTAAATCAAAGTTTAAATTTACATGATTCTATTTCATTTATAAATGAGTTGAATCAGTTTTCAATTGATACTTGGATTAATCATACAGTTTGTAAACAAGATATCATTTCTTATTATATAATAGTCTACTTTTGATGAATCAATATCAGTTGATAAATCAATGAAAATGAAGTAGCTCTAGATGATTAGTTAACCAGTCTCTGAGAAATATAAAATAATTTCAGAAATTCAGAAAAATTAAGAAACAATTAATGATCACTAATTTTTATCAAAGCGAAAGTTAATAAACAATGTGAAATGAAGTGAATTCATTTCATTTTACTTGTTTTTTTTATCTTCCACATACACAGTTACTTGCGCAAATAAATAAAAATGCTTTACATATGTAATTTCATGTGTAACAAATAGAAAGTCACTGGGTTTATGAGTAAAAATTAATTGTAAACACTGTATATCCATACAAGTTCTATTGATTGGTGAACAGATGAAGCCAAAAAGAGATTACGAATTAATCGATTGTAAAAATTAACTAGGGAATTGATAGTGATTACCGAAATGGTCATAAATACTACTAATGATAATAACAGTGGAAGAGAACATGAAAAAACGTAAACAGCTGAATATTCAAAGTGTTTATGAGTCGAGATTTTTGATATATAGTGTCACAACAATACAAGTTATAATAACCATACTATGAAAACAAAACAAAAATCAAACCAGAATGATCAATGGAAGTGTTGTAATTCGTTTAGTACAAGTTCAAGCAGATAGAACCAAGAAAAAAGGAAGTTTAAGGAAGCAGTGATTTTGTCAGCATAATGCCACCAGTTGGAAGACACAATGAATTTTAGGCAATAACTAGCTGCTATTTTCGCTCATTGTAGAATGCAAAAAACCAAATGAATTCGCTTCGTTCCCCGATGATCGTTTTTTATTTGCTTTACTAAATTTGATCAAGAGAAGCAGTTGTGGAAAAAATAATTACAATTTATTTAGGACTTGATAAAAGTTTCATAGAAAATCAGTTATAAGCTATCTTCAGTCTTTAGTTAAACAATTTTAAAGGACTTTCGACTCAAATTTTTATGTAAGTAATTACAAATAGAGCTTAACTTGTAATTGTTTGTGATCGTAGTCAATGCAAATTTGTAAGAATGATCATGGTTTATGAACAGAGGTGGTAATACGACAAAGAGACTGATCAGTGGCAGTCTTAAACATCAATGGGAAAATTAAAATAGTCATTGTATGTAGTTCGTTGACAAAGGGTAATTGATTTATAGGTTGCTGAATAACAAACTCATTATTATTAATAACTAACTGAAAATAAATATTTAGTTTTAACAAACTCAATAATACGTATCTATTATTTCATAAATTAACCTAATTTTATAAAAACTCATAAATATTTCAGTTATATCAGGCTAAATATTTTACCTGGCAAATTTCCTTTGGAAGAAGAAGTTGATCGATTCATAGATGAGTTACGTGTAAGTTAATTTCAGTATTTACTTATTTCTTGTTTAAATGATTAATTTTTTCCAGACAAGATACCTATTTGCCATAAGCAATATTATGACGAAATTTCAATAACAAAGTGAAATCGGAAAAAATTTTCAACAGAATTCGATATCAACCTGTTGATGACTGTAAATATTAATAGATAAATAGAAATTTATAATTTCATTAAAGCTTAAAACTTCCTAAAAATGATTATTCAATAATTTTCTCTAGTGTTCAAATTAATCGGCAATCCTTCTAAAATGCAATAAACAATAGACAAAAAGTTATTCATTTTCTAGACTAATTATACAGTCGCCATTTAGTTTATTAATTTTCAAGAAATTATAATTTCATTTTACAATCCATTAATGGTAATCAAACTATTCATTGAAATTAGGTGTATATTTTCAAATAAATGGTAGGCGATAATTTCATTGTTTTATATAATTTAGATTATCATAAGTTTTCAGAGATAAAAGTCATAAATTTACACGTTGTCAGAAAAAAAGTAACAAAAACTTGAGTTTACCGTAATCAAATAATTCATTATAATGTAAGCAATAAAATGGGGGCTTTTTAGAAACATATTTCATATGTAATTATCATTTCATCGTATGATGAATAAGTTAGCTTGTAGTGAATGAGAACACAGGTGGGGGCAATCGAATTGTATTTAACGAAAATTACAGAGTTAGTCAGTAAAATCGGAAAACCATATCGTAAATCGTTCATTTGCAAAAGATCAGTTCATCCTATGGAACTGGACTGTTCCTGTTGCCAAACATCAATCCATTGTCACTCTTCATGCGTTTCATACAAATTCCATTGTTTTCTGACTCTTCCTTTCTTGATCTTCCCCCCATATTATGCTACCAGACTTTACGTTGACACTCACGCTATATACTACTTATAAGTAGTTCGCAACACAGCACCACAAGCTTACTAACTTACATCATTACTTAAGTCTTCACATCTGCATCAGATCTACCTTGCTCGTCAGTGATGCTGCCTAAATATGTAGAACTTTCTACGTCCTCCAAGACAAATCCATCAAGAGTGATTTGGTTGGTGCATGTTGTGTTGTATTGGAGAATCTTGAATTTGGACGTCTACGAAGTTCATCAGTCTGTTTAACAACACCCTGTTGAAGACTTTGCCCGCTATTGAGAGAACAATGATGCCTCCGTAGTTCTCACACTTTATGAGATCGCCTTTCTTTGGCATTTCGATTAGGTATCCTTCTTTCCAGTCTGATGCTACTTGTTCTTCATCCCAAATCTTGATGAAAAGAGGATGTGTAGTATTTTTGCAGTTGTTGCCACGTCTACTTTTATTGCCTCTGCAGGAATGTTGTCTGGTCTCGCTGCCTTGCCGCTTTTCATTTGTTTGATGGCCATTCTGATCTCTCCAATCGTTGATAAATTAACATCGATTAAGAAATCTGTGGATGTTGCTTCGCTGTTGGATGAGTTCAGAGGGACTTGTCGATTCAAGATTTCTGTAAAGTGCTCGATCCACCTGTTATACTGTACTTTATGTTGCTGATTTCTTCGTCTTCTTTTATTTTCACTGGTCTTTCTGGTTTACGATATTTTCCAACGAGCTTCTTTGTTGTATCGTACAACTGTCGCACGTTTCCCTCTCTTGCAGCCTTTTCCGCTGTCATTGTCGGCTCTGATGCTCCTCTTCACTTGCTTCTTTGCTTCCGTGTATTCAGCTTGTGCCTCGACTCTCTCTGCTGTAGTTCGGGTGATGTTGACTGCTGCTTTCTTGTTTCTGCTTTCCTGAATCTTCTGGAGAGTGACAACGGAGATTCATTCCTTGTGATGGTAGTCCTCGTGTTTCAGAACCTCTTGACATGTTGAAGTTATTGCCTATTTGATGCCTTTATAATTGTTTTCTATGGTAGATTCCTTACCATTGAGTACAAGGTGAATAGCCTGTAATCTATTGCTGAGGGTTATCTTGAACTCGTTGAGTTTTTCAGTATACCGTAGAAAGGCCGTATTTACCATCTCAAAAGGAACAATACCTCCCATGATGTCTTCATTTCCAGTGTTGTACATGCCAACTTTGGCATTCTGGTCTCCTAATAAAATGGTCGAATCCTTTGATGAGCACATCCCGACGATTGACTGCATCCTCTCATAGATTTGATCTTCAACGTCTTCGCTGTAATCGTTGCTAGTCACACGGTATTGGTTGACGTCCATTGAATGCCCTCTTTCTCGGTTACTGGTATCTGAAGTAATAAGATTACTCTGGTGAGATTGAGTAAACTGTGATTACAGAAGTAATCAGTTATTAACTAACCTTAAAAAATCCATTAGTTATTACATAACAAATAAATCAATATTAATTTCAAATGAGTGTAGATCTTTAGAAATATTTTTAAATTAGAACAACTTTTTTCATCCAAAATTTTATTGTGAGTCCATGATCACATTAATATTGTATGACAATCTGAAGCTAATATATACTGCTGAAACTCGGTTTGTCTATTTTTCACGGTTACAAGAACGTGGTAATAATCTTTGCTGTGTCTGACCAGTATGGGATTACCGTCTACAGCTTTTTAAAAAATAATCATAACGCACAAATATCTCTCTTTAACGTTAACATAATAATAATAATTACATCACAAATGTTTCAATCGGTTTTAACTAACTTGAAAGATTATTAAGTTTCCATTAATTCTCCTTAATAAATAACATAATCACAATCAATTAAAACACTCGTGAACTGAACATTTTACAAGACGATTAATGCAAATTCTATTTGAATGTGTTGGTAATTTTCTTATTTAATTTTATAAATTTCATATTCCAGCATATTTGTTCAGATTCGTTACCAAAATATTTATCTTATCCAAATGCTTCTAAAAATAAGCAAGTTAAAACAGAATCAGTTCAGCATCAATTTGCTTCATGTATACACAGAATGGTGGTACCGCATTTTTTAGTTACTGGTCACAAAATGACAGATGGATCTATACAACTTGGATTAATTATGGGTCATTTAGCATTGAAAGCATTAAGTAGTATTTTTACATCAATCAATCCAGAATGTGCACCGAAAGATTTAGTACAGTTTGATCAAATTGCAAATCATCTCAGTTCATCATCGAATGTAAATTATCAATCACAGAATAAAAATATCCATAGTGGTGGCAATAATATGACTGGAACGAATATAAAATCAGATATGATTGGAAAGAAAGCTATTAAAGCACTTGATGACGTTTCATTTACTAAAAAAATGAATTTTTTAAGAAAAGGAAAATTTCATTTTATTCGAAAACTCGGTCGTTATTTACCATTTATGGTACAAATTAAAGACGAAGTGAGTTATGCAACGATGCATTTATTTTGAGGAAACAATGAATTTCTAAATTTTGACTTATGGTAGACTATAAGATACTGTCTGTTGAAAATAATGGAATATGTCAATATGGTGGACAAGGATAAATTGAGCTAATATGGTTTATTAACCAAAGTTGGTGCATATTTATGCCAAGACTGACTGACTGAACTTATTTTGAAGATATAAGCCAGTCAGAATTTAGATAGAGACTATATGTTGTTTACTTAAGATCTTGAGAGTATAACTAAGATAGCATTTACCCTAACGTAAGTCTTCATAAATACAACCTATATGAAGCACTAAAATCGTTTGAAAATGTAAAATATGATTGCTTGTGCAACCATACAGTGAAATTAACATGATATGAGTTGATAATTACATTCTAAGACTACTTTTCCTAATACAGATTCTATCAGGAAAGTAACTGATATAAATTTGCTTCATTTTCTTTTGTTGAAAATGAACTTTCAACTAGATAAACTTACTATAAATGTACTGATTAATAGATACTCCAATTCCACAAAAACATTTTGTAATATCGAGAATTTCCGTGATGTGGTTCTTAGACTATGATATCCTATCAATTCTTTATCTCTTGGTGAAATTCCGTATAAATATAAAAAAAATGTGAGAAATCGTTGATACAAATAAAATGCAGTAAAACAATTAAAAACAAATTGTTCTGCACAATGAATGGAAATGTGTAATGAATATAGTTCGCTTGAAATTAACGAAAATTGCTTATTAATCCAGAGTTACTTAATATCACGTAAAGTTACTTAATATTTCTTCACTGGTTTATTTTGCATTAAGTCCCGGTAAATAGTATTTTTCGGATCGTCGAGTGTAGTCCCAATAGCATTTATATATATATATATATATATATATATATATATATATCATAGAGAGAGCATGTATATAATGATCTTCAAAGTATGATCGTCGTATAAAAGTCACACTTTGGAGTTACACTGATGATCACCTACCAACCGGAGAGAAATAAATGTATGGAAAGCAAAAATACAACCATCTCAAAAAAATTAAACCTATATATTGATTTTCGAGTGTTTATAATATCAAGAAACCACAGTTGAATTAATCGTAAAGCTTACTAATAAATAGTTACATCAAAGTCTAATAGATTCGATCTCCATTTTATACCATCAAAATGAATTAATTGAAACGTCTACTTAGTAAAATAGTTCAATAAGTTAAACTAAGTCATTGAAATTTATCAAAAACAGTTCGAAAACTAGCCAATAACATTGTTGTTATGTAATTTTAAACTGCCTACTTCATATTCAGTAAAAATAAAAACAACTTGTGAACATAAATAAAATGCTTGGATATATCTCTACAAATCTTTAAAAAAAGAAATAACATTTCAGAATATACTTAATCAGTCAGCTTTATTCAGTAAAGTGTAAAGATTAGCTTTTTTGCATATTTTTTTGTAAATTTCATAGGTTCTAGAAACGTCACTGATACAAATATTTCAGTTCCGTGTCAGAAATAAGTTAAATACCAAGATCTAGTTTGATTTGTTTTCCCTTTTTGATTTGTGTAAATTTTAAAAGTTAGAAAATGTTTTTAGTTAATATATCAAATGAAAGTCAAGTATTGTAACATTTATACAATCTTATCTTTTGTGATATAACTTTTACAGTAAATTAATTAATATAGTTCTACAATATTTTAGGTAGATAAAGCCATTGATGATTTTGATGATATCATTAATTTACGTGAAGAAATAGTCGATTCAATAATTGAACTTTTTGGAATTCAAGTGACTGATGAAAGTGATGTATGTTAACATGATTTAATGAATCGATAAATGTTTTTTGTTTTACTAAATGAATCTAATATTATTGTACAGTTTAGATAAATTTTGAAAGTTAAATATTAAATGTCGGAAAATCAGAAATGTATGCATATATTTCTTTCTGAGAGAAGCAGTTTTCAAATGATATAAATTCTAATTGATTTTAAAGTATCATATATTGAAGTGAAATTAAAATATTTCCATTATAAGGTTTTGAAGATGATTTATTTTAATGAGATCAATCAACAATCTCTAGATCCCTATGGTGAAAATTCTAATATGCTTACTAGTGACTATTTTCATGAGGAAATTCTCCGAGTTATGTAGACAAGCTACAACCAATGGAGTTCAGCTGTATCGGGTGTGAATTAGTTACCCACCGAAGACATTGGGCGAGGTCATTGAATTGATTGAAGTTAGACACTGACGCTATTGGGTGCCGGCTCAGTGGTCTAGAGTATCAGCTAGCTAAAAATGGAGGTCCTGGGTTCAGTTCATGCTTGCGGAGATCGTGGCTACGCACTGCCGACGAGCCTCATACCAGAACAAAACGGCCCTCTAGTGTTTCCAGGTTTCTAATGGTGGTCTAACATCGATCGATTCATAATTTCAATAAAACTCAACAATTTCCATAACCCCATAATAGAAAAAGTATTATCCTCTAATTGTATTTCAGAAAAAACCACTATGTAAAATGCTATATGATCGAACTATTGATCAAATGGAAAGATATCATTTGTTAATCTGTTTCAATGCCTACCTTCGAGAACAAGTAAGTGAATCTTTTAAGCTAACAAATTATTTTAACGTTTAGATGCAACTAAGATTTAGTCAAAATTTTTCAACATGGATGAAATGTCAACCACGTCTTTATCAAATAATGGACTTTTTCGACGTTTGTGAATGGTACGCATCAGTAGATATGCTAAAATATGAACATCGTATATTGGTAAGTAATAAATGAATTGAACAATTTCCAATATAATAAAACATATTCAGATGAACCAAGAACGTTCTTTTTAATAAGTTCTCTTAAGGTTTTACAATCATATATAAAGCAAAAAGTGGACGGACTTAAGGCAAAATACATCGTTCAAAATTATAGCGCATGGATTTAGGATTGTTTGTATCAAAAATGTTAATGTTAGGATGAAGCCCTGACGTAAAATGAAATTGTGCAATTAATAATCGGAATAAATATGGTCAGGAATCATGTAATATGTAGAATAACATGAATGAAGTACGAATAAGTCAATAGAGGTAGATGCTGAATAACTCTTTAAAAATAGATGCAAGCTTCATGATAATAATGATAATAGTAAGAACAGGATTTGTGAATAAGTTTAAGCTATGAAAACCCAGTGAGGAAGGTTGAATGAATATTAGTCAGGTTATGATCATCAGAATGATTGTTAACTAATTAGGCCAGAAGTTGGCCGAGGTAAAAAGGAGTAGTTGAACTTATTTGTTCTAAAGGTAAAGCTCTGGCATTCTGATGTGAATGGCTATTGCTTCAGATGTTTGAAGGATTCGTAATCTGATGGATTTAGGCGAATTATTGTTAGAACAATTTGTTACTGAAAATGATTGTTCAATTTTGGTTGTTTTATTGTCTGCACTAAATAAGTTAGTGTCGAGCTTTTTACAGATTCAATAACACTTTTGCTTAACCACACCTGGAGGTGCTCGCAAACATGTAAAAGCAAATTCCTGGAATGTCCGTCGATGTAACTTTCTCCACAGGAACAGTTGGATTATTCTAAATCGAAAGAGACGGCCAGTTTAAGTAGTTTATCTTTCAACCCCAGGGTGACTATCGGACGTGTGGAAAACATTAGCTGTAATTTCATTGGATGAAATGTTCTTCGGATTACTTTGTGTAACGTCAGTATTAGCGTTTAACTAGGTGCGTCACCTCTAGATTGTGGGCATTTACGCAGACTTTTTGGTCGCTGTTAAAAATTTTGTTGTGCTCACTTTTCATAGCTAAATGTTTAGATATGAATTTCTCAAGATATCATAGTCGTACGCAATGCTTGTACAACAGCATCTGCGGAGCCATTTGTATTGTGTCTAAATTTGAGTGCCTTAATCAGGGTTTTATATTGTGGAGGAATGAAAATAAGAAAATTTTTGTAATGGCCAGTCCAAGTAGTTTCCTTATTTGATTTTTGCTTTAGTAACCTACCCACTCCCCTTGAAAGTAGAACATCTAGAAAGACTATTCTACCTCCATTTTTTTCCTCAGATAATTGCCAGATGAACTTCTTAAAATCTTTTGATTGTCTCTACCCGATCAGTAAGATCTTACCAAAAAAATGGACTTATCGTCCATATATCGGCATTAAAATTAAAACTTGTCGATATGCTGTTTAGTCAGACGATATGGACCTACTGGTGAACCTAACGCTACAATATCTATTTGTCTGTATATTTCAGCAGTGAATTTGTAGTTTCCGTTCATAGTACATTTTATTAGCAATTCCTTAGTGATGTCGACAGGGATTATAATCTCTATTTCTTGTTCTCTAAGTTGCTCACAGATATATTCGAAAGTCTCCCTGAATGGGACATTGGTAAATAATTATATTACCGCCGTCTTTAGTGTTTATGATTTTCGGCTGAATGACGAACTGGAATATTTCAATAATACAATACTTCAATAAGCGTATGTGGAGTGGTTTCAAAGTGGTTACTAACCATTTTACTACAGTATGATAAGGGGAATTGTACATGTCCAGAATTATCTTCAATGGAATACCTGCCTTGTGTACCTTCGGTAATCCGTATAACTTTTGCAAATGAGTACTTATCTGTTTAATTGTTTCGTACCTGTTTGATGGAATTACCTATTGATCTCTAAGCTTTTTCAAAGATCTGATCAGTTCATGTTCGATCTTAGTACTGACGTCTTTTTGGTGATTTAGCTTCTGCAATTTCAGATAATCATTCATAACGTTATTCATCTTGTCAATATTGTCTTGTATGTCACGTAAGATATTCGGTTTCGTAATAATCAAATTTTTATCATTAATAAGTTTATTGATAGCCTCCTTCGTTTTTTCTAAAAAATTTATCTGTAATTAAATCCACTGTTCTTAAAATGATAGCAGAAATCAACCGGATTCGATTTGAAACGTTTGAGTTCTTGATCGGAGGCCAAAAGTAGTTTTCATATTGGATGTCTGTATTTGTATGATTCATGCGATTGATATTACTAGTAATTCTAAATTCAAATGCTATAATTTAAAACGATGTATTATGACTTAAACCTGACCATTTTTAGGATTATTAGTTTGAATACATAACTGTAGAACCTGAAGAGAATTAATTTATCCTTCTTTGTATGAAACAATTACTTAGCCGATCAACAAGAAGACAAGTTATTTCAAAAAAATATAAATGTTTATGACTTAGAACGAATTTTATTTCTATTGATACTTTTCGAAACTATTGCCAGAGTTTTCCAATTCACCTTATACTCCATTATAAGTCAAGAGTGAAGTTTTATTTTTCACTTTACAGGTGACAGATAGTTCACTTCATGTCGACGAGCTGAGTACACAACGAATTACTGGTCTCGATAATTTTCGTCAATTAGCTGGTCTACCGATATATGGTTCAAGTCAACCAGATACAAAAGGTATTGTTAATATACATAATGTATTAACAAAAGCATATTGGAATGTTTCATTGAAAAATGTAAGACCAGTAGTACTTGAATCAGCTTCTAATAAAAAAGGTTCAGAGAAATCTTCCAATGGTAAAGATACCAATGGTTATGCAGTTATAATGCCACAAATAATATGGATATGTTTACGTGATGATTATGTAATTAAATATGCAGGTGAAACATGTAGTTGGAGAGCAAAGCGTAAACCATCAGATGCAATAACACTACGTGGAGCCAGTGGAATGGAAATTGAGGTTTGTTTTTAATCTTTATTATTGATAATCATCATATAACTCCTACTAGAAAAATTTGCTGAAACAAATGACATATTTCCGACAATCATTATAAATTCTTTACATTATCAAATAACTATCATTTTATCTAATGATGAATAAGTAAACTTAAAAACATACTTAATTACTTACGCCTGTTACCCTCAATGGAACATAGGTCACTGACCAGCATTCTCCAACCTGCTCTGTTCTGCGCTTCCCTTTCCATTTGACTTCAATTTTTGTCATTCTTCTCATGTCGGTCTTCATTTCTCAGCGTAATGTTTTTCATGGCCCTCCTCTTTTCCTTTGACTTTGACGGTTCCAGATGACAGCTTGTCTTGTGACTCAATTGGGTTCTTTCCTCATTGAGTATCCTATCCACTTCCAGCACTTCTTGTTTTCTTCCTTCACTAGAATCGGGTTTGTTCTTCTCCTCAGTAGGTTATTGCTAGTGATGTCTGTCCAATGAACCAGAAGTATTTTGCGTGGACAACTGTTAATGAACACTTGTATCTTCTCCAAGTTTCCACTCCATACAGTAGAACTGTTTTGACATTTGTATTGAAAAGTATGAATTCGGTGTTCGTCGATAGTTCTTTTGAGTTCCAGATGTTGTTCGATTGTAGAAATGCAGCCCTTGCTTTGCCGATCCGCAACTTCACATTTTCATCTGATCTACCTTGCTCGTCAATGATGCTGCCAAGACATGTAAAGGTGTTAATGTCCTCCGAGGCATCTCCATCAAGAGTGATTTGGTTGGTGCATGTTGTGTTGTATTGGAGAATTCGTTGGGTTTGTCAGTATCCCGTGGAAAGGCCGTATTAAACATCTCAAAAGTCTAATACGGTCAGTAGTAGCCAGTAACAAATGCACAATACCTCCCATAATGTCTTCCTATCCAACCTTGTCATCCTGGTCTCCCAATAAAATGGTCAAATCCTTTGATGAGCACCTCTCGACGATTGACTGCAACCTCTCGTATAATTGATCTTTAACATCTTCATTGTAGTTGTTGGTAGGCGAATTGCATTGGATGTGGTTCATTGTAATTCCCTCTTTCTTTGCTTTGAAGGATGCTTTGGTGATCCGTGGTCAATGAGATTCTTATCTTATTAGGGCTTTTCGTGCTTGTTTGGACAGCATCAATGCAACTCCGTGTATGTGTGTGTGAGGCCGAAGTATAACAGCAGCTCTTCTGAAGCTAATCTTAGTTGTCCAACCTACGTTCAATGTGTACCACTGATTATAAGCACCTTCAGGTTGTGTATTTTCATCTCTTCAACAATTTGCAACAGTCTTTCGGTCTTCCACATTGTTCGAACATTCCATGTACCTAAAAGAATGGTAGCTATGGTTGTCAGAAGGGACATCGGCAGCGTGAGAATCATGAGAAGTCATCACTCTTCCGAATGAAGATCTTCTAACTCCTAGGGCAGATTAAAAATGGTTTAGGCTATTTTTTATAGTTAGCGTTGTTTTAGTGAGTTATGTTTCTACGGGATGTGGCCGCTAACCCCAAATTCAACCCTACACTTTTATTGGGGCTTGAGACCTTCAATAACCCCGGAGGCGCTCCAGGCGGAACAGTGAAGAACATAGTCTATTTCACGGATTACTACATTCTAACTAGAAAACGTTAATATTTATGAGTGGCTTATTAGGTAACTGTTAATTCAACTTAATTCACACATTAAAAGTATTATTTATTTAATAATCAATGTGGAAAATCTTGTTACTTTTGTTCATAAAATTACTCGAAGTAGCTCTCTTCATTTATGTCAGCAGTAGATGTGTATCTGGTCCTGCAGTATATTGAAAAAAATCATTTTTTTCTTGGTCAGAAAACCCTTTTATTTTAGAAGTTTGAATAATGATAACTCTATGTTCAATCCTAACCGTAGCATATAAGTAATTGACTATTGATTTCTGATGAACGATTGTAGAACCTCTGTTTCGTCATTGCAGACGATGATACTGTCATTCACTTACATACTTACTTACCTGCTCCTGTTTCTTAATAGTATTCAGAGAAACATTGCCCATAATTTACTGATGGATAGATGAATGTTAGATTTGAATACGTTACGAGAGCAAGGTGCTTTGAAGACCAGAGGGCATGAAGAGGGAGACACATATTAAAAATCTAATAGTTTTTCAAATGGGAATCTTAAGATCAGATAAACGTGTTTTGTTAGTTAACTGTGTCTTCTCTAAATATATTCCTGTTCCACCTGATCTTGAATCGTTCTTTCATCACACTGGGCTCTCCTTCCCAGTGGTTTCTATGTGAAGCTTATTCCTTTGATGTCTGCCATGAATCCATGGCTCGGTTTTTTCTTCAATCATTCTCTCTGCCTTTTGCCTTGAAATCTACCCAAGAGGTCTTATCGTGCCACACAGTTTGGGGATTTCCACTGAATACATCCGATCCACTTCTGACGTTTTTTTCTAATTTATTCCCAAATTGTAAGCTGGTTTGTCTTCTGTTACATTAGATTGTTGCTAATGATATCTGGCCAATGGATCTGAAGTATCTTGAGTAGAGAGTTGTCACTAAATATGTGTCTTCAAAATGGTGTATTTTGCAGTTCCCTAAAATTAATCTCCATACAGTAGAATAGTTTTGACAATGGTGTTGAATATTCAGACTTTGCTGTTTTCTGACAGTTGTTTTGGATTCCAGATCTTCAAATGTAAAAGTTTTGTTATTGATATGCCGATATGTGACGTCACATCCGCATCAGATTACCTTCGTTTATCAGTTATACTGATCGGGGATGTAAAAGTTTTCACACTTTCCACGGCTCCGTAATCATGTGTGGTTTAGTTGGTGTATGTCTTACTGCATCTAAGGATATATACACATTTCTCACCATAAAATGCCTCTTTATAATCTATTAAAATTAAACTTAATAACAGACTTAACCTTTTATGTGTGTCGAATTGTGTAAGTGTTCAACTACAGTAGAACTTTACTCATTGTACAATGCATCTATTTATTTCTATTGTTCATTTATAAATATTTATCTTATGATACATAAACATACATATATTTTCAAATAATCTTATTAATAAGATATCATTTTCTTCTGTGATATTTTCTACTTAGGAAATGGAACAAAAATTTGCTCATTCAGTCAGTAAATTGAAACCACCATGTAAATTATATCAGTTAAACGATAATGGGAAATTATCCATGATTAATATCGAGTTAAATGATGAACAACCGGAATTATTAAGTTTAAAACAAATGTTTAAACAAACATTTAGTTCAATGAACACCATTAATTCATCAGCATCAGTCTCATCTAATAATAATAATAATAATAATAATAACAATCCGGAGGCATCATCAATTCACAGTTCATTATTTGATAAAGTACCTGATTCATATGCAGTTTATTTAAATGAACATGCTGAATATCATCGTATTCCGCTGCCAAATTATGGTCATCCACCTCCTTCGGTAATTGTGTTATTATATAATATATCATTTTTAAATTCTTTGATGAACTGACTGGACTTATATTCTTAGTGTTATGCAAAAATAAAGATTTTCTTAAAAGTTTAGTTCATGTTTACCAAGTTGAAATTTTTATGTAAAATATTTTAAAGAAATAAGTTTATTTCATACATTAAATTTTTTGCAATTCATTACTTTGTAAGTTAACAGTACTATATTTCTGAATAGTTCTATGTATTATTGTTCAATGGATGTATGTATGTAAAGAAAATATAAATTTTTACCAAGTATCATTCAACATTGAATAATACACCAAAGAAAATGATATCAAAACTAGAAGCATTAGAAGAATGTAATTAAGTAAAATTGCCATTTATGAAAACCTAGTTTTAGGAACAGGAAGAATGAGAGAAGAGAGAGATGGATTGCTAGCACCTCTTCAGCGCATAAGTTATTAATTATCACTCTTCTCAATCCAAATTGTCCGACTATATAGATAATTTTATAGGACTTATCAGGTGGAGCTATATGATCAGAGTTCATAAGGTTTTCTAATAGCGAGCTGTGGATTGACTTACATTCACCTTTCAAATGCCACACAACATAATATTCAAAGATGTTTCAAAAGAGTAAGTAAACTTATAAATACACGTTGATGTGACACAATGCGAGAGTTTATCCCTGACAGCTCCACGAACAACTAGGCGGCTGAAATGAACGGTGAGAATGGTGAGCCTCATTATTAAATCTAAACTAATCTTACATCCAGTTATTTTGTTCCACAAATAGTAATTGTCAACTAATATTATTATGTAACTTTACTTTATTGTTTTTGTTAAGAAATATTTTGCACATCAAAAAGTTTCTATTATCAAATATGAATTAGATCATTTATCCAGTTTGTAAATCCCCAATGGCTTTTATGAACAAATGATTTTAAATAAGCATTATTTTAGAGACTGAATTTCATTTTCGAATATATATTTATTATTCAACTTTTTATTTAGCTATTTAGTCGGCCTACGGTGATAAACAAACAATTTATTTTCACATCCCAATAAGTAACAGTTATTATGTAACCTACTACACTAAGGCTTTTCAATAGATTTGTCATTTTTAAATTATAAATAACTCCGGTTTTATAAAGTACGAAATAATTATCTAAGTTATTTTCTCAAACAAATAACTTGAAATGTTTTAATTTTTTAAGTAAAAATAACGAACCAATCATCTTTATACTGAAGGAAAACGAATCTTGACTTTGAAAAATTATCGCTAGTAAGCAAACTTATACTATAAAGTTTTATGAAAATATACTCGCATCGATTCACAATGAATTTATGCCGTAAATTCTTACTAAAATCATAAAGTCTGGCAAATTATTGCCATTCTCTCAAAAAAACTGTTAATTAAGCCCTCGCCAGAGTCCTGATTCGATTAAATGTTCTAGTAATACAATCTCCTCAAAAATGATTGAATTATTTAACAAGAAAATGATTTTATTTCATTCAAACAATACAAATCAAAGCAAACTATTTCTCTGATATCTTCATTTGATAACGAACCCAACTAAATAGGTTTCTCAAATATTTTTATTTAATTGGGCGTGATTAATATTTGATTTTGCTATGTGATAAATTGAATTCTTTTATCACTCTACGCTAGGATAATGTTGGTGAAAATAAAGCTGTACAAACTCATCTGGTTCAATTTTTTTCTGGATTAACAGTTGTAGATGGACATCGGCGGACGTGAATTTCGAATTAAATTTTGTCACGTAATGACTTCAGCCGATGAATCATCGAGAATTTAAGAACATTAGGACACTATTTAGTCATCATTTGAGGCTCTTCAAAAATGATCATTCACGATTACTTTAGATATCAAACAAGAAATTTTAGACACTGTCTAGCTAATTACTTTTAAACTATTAATTTGAAAACTAAATGTTCCACATTAATTCCTTAGATAGCCTGTTGATCATCTGTTATCATTGGGTATATGTTTTTATTGTTACAAGATCGCTCAGCTCTATAGCTTACGATGTCTCACTAAATATCTTAAGTGTTTTCTAGAAATTAATAACTAATGTGCACATAATTATTATTTGGTTGGTTTTGACGATTATTTTTACTGTAAAGTAGTTACCTCAATAGACTATTTTCATTTGTCAAATCGATACTAAGCCGGGATCACTGGTAAGTTACCTCGTCCTTATTTTGGACTATACACGAGTGTGCACACTTGATATCGTAATTATCATTTGAAAATAAATATTTAGGCTTTAGGTAAACTTACAGAACGAAATCAGTTGACACTTATATGAGGAGTATTTATTAATAAATAGACGTTTCTTGTATATGAAGGTGACCTTTTAGAGAAATAGGATCTAGATTTAGTTTTCGATATGGTAAACAAATGTGAATGATCTTCAAGTCTGGCTTTTTCCAACCTTACACGTCTTAAGAAATAGCAAGTAATCGCCTAGTAAATTATTTATATTTTTTGGTCATAGCTGTTCAATTCTACAATCGTATTAATTTGTTTTCATACTGTAAGTTACTGATTAATTAACGTTGATTAATTCTTCGTTTAATTTGTACAAATCTGACTTCTAATCAGTGTAAACAAATCATAGTATATTCAAGGTTAATTTGACTTATTTCCGGTTCATGATAAATCTTCATCTATCATCTTCGTGTTCTTGTGTCGTGCAAATCACTTTTTCTGGTGGCAACTACCAGTTCTTCACATTTATGTCGAATTTCTTTACTATAAATGAACGAGATAATCTCTTCATTCTCAGAATATTCAACCCACTTTAAAGATTATAATATCATAAATAATTCGCTATCGCCATAAAGAACTGATAAATGTCTCATTTAACTCAGTGTTTATTAAACGCCTACTTCAGACCTGTATACTATAGTTGAAACCTTTAACAATCATATTACTGCATCTTCATTAATACACAATCAATATATTGAAGCGACTAGGTATTTTTAATTAATCATCAGTATAATTATAAGATAATGTACTCATCAATGATATGGAGACCGACAATAGTAAATGTGTATATATCTAACGTTTAATGTTGACTGTTCATAATTACTAGTTCTGTGAAGTTTACATTCATGTAGAAAAAAAATGTATACAGCTTTGAAGATGGAAATAAAAAGATAGTGACAAACAACGAAAGTTCATTTTGGGAGCAATGTTTCACCTCATTCAAAGTGAGCTTTCGTTTGATGTATAACTCACAGCCATACTCTGTTGCGTTCCGAATTAGTGTACCTTGAATTTCTAGTTTGGACATAATCGTATTTTGTTAATTCGTTGCTCTCTATGGTCTTGCTGAGTATATTACTTATTCATGTGTTTTTTTCGTAAATCGAATCAGGAATAAATTAAGTAGTGTTCCTGTCGATTGATCTTCTCTCTCTTACTCGCTGGCCTATCCGGTAATAGAATAGTTTTCTTCCCTACTCCCAATGCCGTTTAATTGCAACCGAACTGACGAACTACTACTTTCAAGCTTATCCAGATAGCCTATTGCGTCAATGCCTCTTATGTAGATCGAGACAAAATTATCTCCTAAGTATCACTGGAAGGATGTTTCAAAAACGTAATAACAACACTATTTGCTTTAGTCCTGCATGTCTAGATTACCTTCACCTATATTTTATTTCATTTTATTTAGTTTATTTGAGAAACATTTTTATTTACTTTTCCGGCAGATTTTTGATCAGATATTACGTTTAATGTTGAATAATGCTCGTGGCCTTTTAGCCAGTACAAATACATGTCTTGCACTAAAAAACGCTTGCAGCGGTTTAGGTCAACCAAGTAAATCAGCGAGAAAATCGATTTTCAATCCGGCCAATAAAGATGACTTGCAATTACCAAGTCCATCAGATACATTACTAAACAAGGTGGTTGTAACAAATTTAATATTTTTCTGTGAAAATGGTCGTGAACGAACAAGTTTAGCGATGACTATAGCTGGACTTATTTATTGTCATTTATTTGGATTTATGTTCGGTTATCGAGTGGAAGAAGAGGAACGTATTTCACTACGTGATGCAAAATACACTAAGGGCGAGTTTATTGTAAGTTTAATTAAATTCTTACTAATTTTATTGAACAGAGATTTCCAACATTTTGAGAGGACCTAGTTCGAACAACACAATACCACCATACTTTTCTATAAATAGGTTTACAGAATAGGTAGTTGATTATTGTGAAAACTACTAGAGTTGTTTGATACTATTAGGTTAAAGTTCACAGTTCAGTTCATAATTCCTTCTTCATTTAACTTCTTGTATAGCTCCACTATCATACAGTAGAATCAATGAAGACTGTATCATTCTTGCTATCAGTAAATGCTGATATTCAAGGCATGTTATCAGAACTATTAGAATCCATCAGAGCCTAGTCATTATTAAGTGGTTGATTATAATTAAACTTTGTTAAAAGTTAAATTTTCCAACATCCGACAATATTTTTTGATTTTCAACGTTTTGTGCATCTGACCTTAATGCACAATGAAACTAAACGGTTTTATCATTTCTCAAATCATCTTTAATTAAAAATATTTAAAAACATTTGGTTTTAAGTGGTCAAAATGAAATATTTTATTTATTTCATGAACTTTTATCATTATAACCATTCGTTGAATTTTTTTCCTGATATAGAATTCATGAAACATTGAATTTCTCGATATACCTCAAGTCATGGATTTGTGATTAATAATTATTTCTAAATGAAATAAATTATTCTTCTATACATATATATATATATATATATATATATATATGCCTACTTATATAATTAATCTATTAGTATATATTACTTTAGCTTCATTCGCTTTTTTATTACATTAAGAGAGAATGGACTGATATTCGTTCACTTGTTATTTGATTCGACTAGTTTCTATTAAGTATTAAAATATGAGATTAGGAACTTAAATATTCCATTAGATTGAATTCAGCTTTTTTTAGTCATTTTTCAGCACATACTGAATGAAGACTGTGAATTACAGTATATTTCTATTTAAAAATTGCATTCCAAGCCTTGCATAACCATTACTATATTTGTCTTTTTTTATCTGAGATTTCGGACTGCACCACAATCGATATATATATACATAGCAACAAGTTGTAAGTAACTCTTGCTCGCTAAAATGAAATCTCGGTGAATATCATACTCCAGCGTGCAGAACTCACTCAGTAAATCACCAAACGTGCAGTTCACTACATACGTAATGAATATTGAATACATTGTAGTCTATTTTACTCACTGAAATCATAGACTAATAATTAATTCTGACCGAAATTCATAACTTATTAAGTATCGAAATGATTATTTATCAATCATCAGTTATTTTCTGTTCAATTCATTATCAATAAATAAAATGCTGTTGTTTTCATGTTATTATTTTCTCTCAGATTATAAAAAGACTGATTCGGATGCTGCCTAGAGGTCATCAAATGAAACGTGAAGTTGACTATGTTTTAGATAAATGCTATGAATCGATGTCGATGATGCACTTTCATACAAGAGAAGAAATTTATTTTACTTATGTTAAAGTATGATTTAAATATTTACAGTTGTATATAAAATACGAAAACAATTCTCAATAATTTTTAATAGCTTACATTATATCTTTTTTTGCATTTTCTACAAACTTACATAGCTTTAGAAGAATTAGTCGTTTCATATTTAGTCAAGAGCATTTTGGTTTCATAGTAAATCGTGTTTCTCAAAAGCTAGCGGTGAATATCTAGTTTGACACGCAAAAACTTAGAGTTCATTTAGATGCCTCCGATAATGTTGTAGATATTGAGTTATATAGTGGAGAACGTTGTTAGCTTACCGAAAGAAGTTTAGGAGAATTACAGTTTCCGAGCTGCAGTATTGCTTCTTCGAACAAATAAAGAGCTCTCTTTGACATAAACTCATAACTGATATTGTTGTGTGGAATAGCGATGGAATATTCCCAAGTAAGCTTTCTAGACCGTAGAACAGAACACAGCTAAAATCTTTGAATATTTTGTTAGCTATCATCATCCAAGGGTTTGAATTATGACAAGCTATTGGACGTTTTTCATGAATGATTGAACTTTTAATATACCTACATAAAATTGTGTAGTTTCTGCCAGCCGAGCTATTATTTAATTGATTTTCACTCACTAAGCCATTTATTACGAATTATTTGGGTTGGAATAAGACCAACAGTGCTTCATACCTTTCTAACTCAATATAGACACATGATCATATTAAAACTACTTTAGTTTCCTCAATAGCTCGTGAATTACACATGTACCAATAGTTCTCCTTTCATTTGCCAATGTTCCTGAATAACAATCTCTGGAAGATGATGACAGACTTTTGATTCGATTAACAGACTTTCTGTATTTCCGAAACCGTATCTTATGAATTGTAATACCAAATGAATCACCTTTCTCGGAAATCTTTCTCTCCGCTTGGTTTTAAAATGATCATGATGATGATCGTTGTAAATAGATATCCAAGATTAAAAACTTTCAGTCAGTCAAACCTTCAGAAAAGGTAAAAATATGAACTTTTTCTGGTCGGAATGATATGAAACCACTGGTAACAAATTACTTTGTTTCACACTATGCTACTAAGTAGTAATAAGTAGTACGTTTTTCTGTCCATCTTCCAGGTAAAGAAATGATTGGTTTGAATTGGTAAATTATTAAGATTTCCAACATTGGTTTTATCAATAATTTGCATTTAGTTATTAATGTAAAAGAATTTTCGACAAAGAAATTGCTCAGTACTTAGAGAAAAGAAATCCTATAATTAAAAACGATGACTAAAGATGATAACGTTTCGAAACAGTATCAGTAATGATGTTCACTCTTTAAAAATTTTCTAGGAACTTATTACCAACGAATTCTTATCAGATTCTGTAATTTCGCAGATTTATAAATGACCAAAAGAAATATTCAATCTGTGATAAGAATACACTGTTTATTTATATACAAATTGTGATTAGCGAATCATTAATATTTGCAAATTATGGTTGATAGTTAACAATGTTGATATGTTTACTCAAGTAACGATAATTTGTAAGGTATCTTAGTCAAAATAAGTTTAAAGATTCAACTAAATTAAATGAATCAAAGTTCAAATTTTTCTCCTCTTAAACATCTATTCGCTCAGTTGTCCTAAAAGCAGTACTAATGAACTCGATAGTCAAGTTAATTTAATTCACAAAAATATTTGAATTTATCGAAACCAATACAAGAGGAATTTTCTTTCTATATATCATCAGGAGATGTGTAGAAGTGAATTACTTGGAATCGCTATTAAGTATTATATGCATTTCACCAATAATGCCTACAGGTTGAATTAGGAAATCTAACTAGAGTTATTGCTTGAGAGAAGGAATATTCGTCTTGAGTTATTATTGAAAACGCTTCACTCCTCCTAGTCAGTTAGTCTTTTTTTGAATGGCAGAGAGACAGCTTGAAATCACTTGTATCAATATAACTAGTAAATTCTTATTTGAATGTATATTAAAGCATTAAAGTATTATCTTTATAATTTTGAACTGAATGAATCAACAGTTGCAGTACGACAACTAATTTGATAACATATATGGTTAATAAATAATTGAACAGTTGTTAAGTAGTTTTGTTGTTTACTACTAAATGAAAACCTTATACAAAGCAGATCAAAATGTCAAGGTTATCATTATTTTCTGTTTTCAGACAGAGCTTTTGGGGTTTGTGTTTTTACAGATTTGAAATCATCAATCAGTTGTTTTTAGACCACCATTAAAAACCTGGAAACACTGGACGACGGTTTCTTCCTTGTATAGGATTCTTCAGCAGTGTATATCCACGGCCCTACTACTCGCAAGACGCGAACCCGGGACCTTCGGTATTGTGCGCGAACGCCTAACCTTTGGACCACTGGGCCGACACCCAGCGGTGTTAATGTCTAACTCTGATTGATCTAGGGATTTTGCGTGACCTCACTCATTTGTCTTTGGTAGTTACTGCTTCACCCGACAGGGTTGAACTCCATTGGTCATGTCTTCTCAACTAGAACTCCGAGAATTTTGTATTTATCAGATACTTTACAATTTACCTATAATATAAAATCTGCAATAATATCTTAATGATGTGAATTAGTTGCAGTATAAAATTACTTGAAATATTAACCGATGCATTGAATTTGTTCATCTTAGGCAAGAGATGAAAGTGATCCAGAAAAGAAATTACAACTACGTAAAAGAAGTTTAGCCTACTTAGAACGATACTTTTTTCTCATTCTATTCAATGCATATCTTCATGATCAACAGCCTCAACGATGGAAAAATTCATTTGAAGTTTGGATTGAACAAGTAAGTTTTGCTTTCTTTCAGCCTACAAATTATACAAATTATTTAAATATTTTAATGGGATTGTGCCATTAACAAAATCAACAATATACAAAATATCCACTTTATTGCAGATAAAACTGGCGTTTTTAAAAAATTGGAAATTTCTCTCAAAATTGTCAAAATTGGTACTTTAATTCGAATAGTATTGAATTGAAAAAAAAAGGAAAAACCCATATTTCATATGAGCAGTTAGTAAAAAATGAATTTTCCTGCATTCACACAAGGAGCCTGTGTCGGTAGTAAAGCAGAAAATCTCAATGCATTCATCGCGACATTCTATTCTGTCTGACCTTATGAAAAAGGAGACTATTTACATAAACTTCTTCGGTTGCTTTTTTGATGGTACAGCTGAAAAGTATTTTCTTTTATTTAATTGTTAAATTAATTCAGTATTTGCATTCTCTTCTATTATTATTGTTATTATTGTCTAAATAGATTACACATCAAGTATACTTTATGGATTTATTGGATAATTTTGGTTTTCCTGAATTTGAAGAACCAGATAAACTTAAACGTATTCGTGAACGTTGGCGACCAGATTTCATACCACATCCTACTTTAGTTGGAGATTTTACCTAATTCATTATGTTAACTTATTAAAGAAAAAAAACATACTTTATAAATTATATATATATATTTAATAAATATATTATATTATTAAATATAATTTTAATAAATACATGTACTCCTCAATTTCTATTTTAACTGACAGGAACATTTTTGAATTGTTTCACAGTGTCACTTTTCATTTATGTGTAATGATAGTAAACATTATTATCTTATAATTTCAGTAATGTGTTTCTGTTAAAATAAAATATTGAATATCTGTTCATTTATGTGCCTTTTACAGTGATCGCACAAAGGAATCTAATGTATTTGTTTTTACGGTCGGAAACATGAATTGATTCTAGCTAGACTACCACTGAAAACCTGGAAGCGTTGAAAGACCGTTTTGTGCTATTATGGGACTCCTCAGAGGTGTGCATCCAAATCTTCACACGCGGGACTCGAACACGGGAACGTCGGTCTCGCTCGCGAACGTTTAACTTCTAGACCGCTGAGTATTGTGTTGAGTGCATAAATACTTGAGCAAATTTATTTCAACCTCAACTTTTAATCTACGTTAAATTTTATCTAACATGCCCTTTTGCACAGAAATATTTTTATCCTTGGTGCAATTAATTTAAAATATAGTGTTAACTTATATTTGGATAAACGTGAAAATGGTCATACATTGAATATAAAATGTATCAGGTCAATATCGGAGTTGCGGAACAACTTAATTGAAAATTGGTCAAGATGCTAACATCGTTCATATAAAAAAGTGCTGAAATTTATAACAAAAGTATAGTATGCTTTATATATTTTTAGCTTCGTCGTGTGTAAAATATGTAAAAATTCAAAATATTTCCATAACTTTTACTAAAGGATAACATGAAATAGGTTTGTGTACATTTTTCTTGGAATGTGTATAGATTCAAAATGATTTGCAGTTAAAGTATGAACTGATCTTTAGTAACCTTCACGTTTGACATAAGCATAATGTGTTGATTCCCAAACGCCCAATTTTCGATTACCTCTTTCCACCATTCCAGTTAGTAGATAACCACGATAGAAATCAACATCTATGATACTTGTAGTTAAAAATAAACAGAAATGTGGCATCTTTTGTCGTTTACCAGCTAAATCTTGTTTAAATTTGCCGGTGATAAACATTGAACCTTCTAATTTTGAGAATGTAACATGTCCAATTGTTTCATATCTCTTTGTCCCTCCACTTGTCATCTATAACAAAAGGAAAAGGTATTAAAAATGATTTAATAGTTATTTAAATTGTATAAATATCTAATCAGTTTTGCCATCTAAACAACTATACACTAGTATACTGGGGGGGGGGGGGTTAGAATGACCTGATACTACGATGATGAATTAATGAACAGTGACTAAGAAGAAAATAATTGATAAACAAATTTCCATTGTGTAATAAATAAGACATAGTATAAAACATAAGTAACCGAAAATGCTAGTTCCTTTTCGTTAGAATGTTATCAAAGACTTAATGTATCATAAATTTGATCCTGTTAACCTTATGTCGAATTAAGCTCCTAATTACATACCATTAATTATTCAGTTAATTGTAAGGACTTTAATCAGTTACAGATATATTGAAACAGTCAGGAATTTTATGTGATCTACCACTAAATTGTAATTTATTAAACTCTCAGGAAATCTAGACATATACATCGTGAAAACTGTTAACATTTCGTTATCATAGTATTTATGACTTGAAAAAGAACTCAAGCGAAAACTCATTTTTGCCTGAATACTTAAGTGTTTGTAAAAATCGGTCTGCCTGAAAATACAGCAAACCTCTGGTAAACATTTATCCAGTGAAATAGTTAATACATTCCAGTTTTGTTAGTCTTTTAGAAACGTTTATTGATTTCTACTATCTTCAGTAAGAATGACTTATGAAAGCTTGAAGCCCACTCTTGACATTCTGCAGGCTAGTCTGTAAACTATAGTTTTACCGATTATTCTAGCCAATGTGAGTATTCGAACTCTTACTGGACAAGATTTTTAACCAAAGTTATGTTTACTGATTAAAATGCTTGTGTTATTTTGTTGCATAGAGTAAAATAACATTGAAACGTTCTCCTGTATTTCAAAACTACCTTTCCATCATCTGAACTCTTTCATAACGTTAGATTTGGATTGATGTCTTCCAATCGTACGTTAGTTGTTTGATCTATTTTATCTATTTTCTATTCAACTGTTTGTTTTCCATGTTAATTATGAGATGAACTGATGTGAATTAAATATATATTCAAAACTAGGAATCATTGGACAGCTATCTCTACTTAGTAAAGAACTCCTCTGAAGTATGCACCTATTACCTCATCGAGGGTCAAACTGAGGATATTTGGTCTCATAGGGTACTATGAACCTCTAGACCATTGAATAATGTATATGTTTAACACCAATCAATCTGCAACATCACGCAATTATCCTCCATAGCCGTTCGCAGATTACTGCCCTACAAGTTTAAATTCTACTACTAAAATGTGTGTTTATACTACGACAGCAAATAAGTAACCAATCAAGTATAAACAGATGAAAGCGTTTTTACTTTTAATATTCAAATGAAAATAATCTTGATTTACTTGAATGACTCTGCACCAATTTCTTAGAAATCGATTAAATATTAATAACCATTTCGATTCGCAACTTGGATATGGCCAATTTTCACATGCTTCCAGTTGAACTACAACTTTTTTCATACCATTACGTAATAAATGACTACAAGGTATTCCACGATTTTCATAATAAAAAAGTTGTACCATGAAATAGTTAGTTTATTTCGATTAGATCTAAAAAGTGATAGACAGTTAGGGATTCAAATTTATTCTAAAATAATATTGTATATCCTTAAAAGAACAATAAAATAATTTAAAATAATCCTGATAGGAAAGAACAAGTCAAAAAGAAACGCTAAATTCCGGTTATTTGCGCTTAGTTATAAAGCGAAATTCAAGATCTGTAATTATTTTCATAGTCGAAATCACAATCCGGACTACCATCAGGAACCGCAGTAGGTAATGGATAAAGGTATACAAGATCTTGGATTGACTGAAGTTGAGCATTAACACCACTGGATATCAACTCGGCGGTCAAGGGCTTAAGCTGTCGAGACCGAAGGACATAGGTTCCGTTTCCACGTGCGTGAGTCATAGATGCATACTACTGAGGAGTCTCATACCAGGACGAGGCAGCCAGCCAGTGTGTCCACGTTTCTAAGGTGGTCTTGCTTAGATCGGTCCGTGAATCCAACTGTCAAAATAATACGATCTCTACAAACCCCCTTCATCAAAGTAAGTATTTGATGTTGTCTAATTGAAAGAAATCTTTTGTTTAATAAAAGCTTTAATATTTCTTCTTCCAACAATTGGTCACATGATAGCTTTGTTCTCAAGTATATTTTGATAAAAAAAAGTTTAACCAGTTAACATTTCACAGTTTAAAGGAAATATTGCTAGAGTTTAAAATATCAGATTATTCGACTAACAAAGGATACTGGACCAAACTCTAGTATTCTTCATTCTTATCATTCATTCTTAAATCAATAAACACTAACTATAACCAGTATAATTTACTGCACACAGAAATATGAAAATCGACAAATCCACACTGACTCAGTCAAATACAGTAACTTACTTAAAAATGTCTTAATTAAATCCCATAAAGCTTTCTTTTTAATTCCTACTAAGAATATTTCACAAGAGTTAACACAAGAAATCAAAAACCAAAGTACTTCATAACTTATACTACATGTACGAACCAGTTTGGCTTAAAACAAAAATTTTAGAAATAACTCATGTGCATCAAAATCTAATGCTGACCGAGTTCTGGTAGAAATATCTAAATCAGATGTAAACACAGAAGTTTGGACTGTTTCGGAAAATTTTTATATGATTTTCAACAGTAAATGGTCTTCAAAGAGTGTAAAAATAATTGGGAGTGGAACATAAAAGAATCGAAATAATGAGTAGTTGGTTAACTCAACTGTAATAAGGTTTTCAGTACATAAAACTAGAATCTTAAAGAAATTAATTGTATGAAAGTTTCTAATCGAAATTTCCCGTACCTAACAATACGTATATTCCTAATTAGAACAAACTTTTATAAAAACGGCTGGAAAGAGTATGCATTTCTTTTTTAGGCATGAGGGAGGTTACAAACTAAGTTCACAAATTAATCAATGAGTGCTTTTATAGGTTGAATCAACTTATAATAAGTTTCCAGAAAGTTCGCAATAAAAGTATCCATACTTTTGAGATTTCTTGATTGAATCGTTCCTGTCATCTTCATCCACTTGAAATTGATGAACAACTCTCAAAGTCACTTTAAGAGGTATTCAAGTTCTACCCTCTTTTATATATATGGAGAGAGAGAGAGAATGACTTATCGAATTCATTTTAGAATGTTATACACATAAAAAATAAGCCAATTATTCCAATGTTCCACTTTACAATTAGTCATTCAATTAGATCTTCAAAATAAATTCATTTTTATCCTAAAGGCAATTTTCCATTTACATCTCATAGTTTTCTTATTTAATAATTTATGATGAGATAATTAGATTTTCGTTTAAGGTACAAAGAAAATAATAATATAATCATTTACAAAATTGATTGGAGAGAAATGTAGAGAGAGAGAGAGAGAGATAGAGAGAGAAAAAAAATGAAACCTAGCAAAAACCAAATAACAACGGTTGGTTGTATGAAGATGATGTAGATGATGATGATGTACAGATGATCAACAAATAATTTATTCGTTGTTCAAAATAAAAATTCAAAAAATCCAAACAAGCAATTTTCTTATCACTATTGATTTCTCTTTACCGAATTAAGTTTATAGAATGAATTCACAACAAATAAACGACATGATTTTTTCTCTGCATAGACTTTCTCTATTCACATGATTACATTGGTTGTTATCGTCTTTTTTTCTGTTTGTACAGTTAGTTGTTGTTGTAATTACTGTTAATTGGAAGAAATGAAATTTGCGGAAATTATTTTCACAGTAATAATGTCAATCAGGGTAGCAGTAGTTAAATAAAAATAACAGAGATAACTAAGTCAGATAAACAGAAATATGAGATTATGAACAATTTGTTGCGATATGTAAGTATCGTTAAATTTGTCATCTCAATTTTTTCTGAATATTGTTCATAAGCTAGTGAAATTCATTTGAATATATTGAACTTAGATATTTCCTGGAAAACGTCTGAACAAGATTTGCTGAGTCAAATGTTACTTGACAGTTCTATCGCTGAGACTTACAAATATAATTTTCCTCTTTAAATATATAATCTAGTCTATACGAAAACTCACTTGATGAAATGATGATGTTACAGTTTGACTGATGAATTATTACATGGAGATATGATGCTACGAGGAAATCAAAATAAGTACAGATTTTTGTCAATAAATAACATCATTTAGAAATCCATCAGAAATTATAGGGAATTGAATAACTATCTAATTCATTCGAATCTATGACTCAGTAATCTTGTCCATCCATAAATAATGTCCCTCGAGCATTTGAAGTGTTACAATGAATAAGGTGGATGGCAACCAGTAAACCATAGTTCATGAATCCAGTCAATTTACGATACGATGTAATTAATCACTGACATGCATCTCATTTCGGTTGACATTGCAAAATAGATTAAACAATAACAATAGTGTGCTCAGTAATAGCTAGTTTCAAGATGAGATTCCAGTGGAAAGTTATGATTAGTGAGTTCAGTAGAATAGAAATGTTTGTTTGTGATCCTTTGATGATTCCTGAACGCACTGTTAATAACTACTATATCTTTAAGAGGCAGCTTCTCAGCCGCTAGATTCATCTTTTGAATACATGATTTTCTTCATCCAACCAATGATTTACTGGATTTCAAAACGATGTCACGAATGGATTTTTGTTACATTCATGGTATTTTTATCATTAAGAAACATCTTACTAATGGGAAAATTTGGATAACTTAGCTATATAGCTTTGAATGGAAACATAACCCATTATATTTGACTAGTATACAGTATTATCTTAACATTACTTTCTGAAAATGTTTCTGCTAATAACATATTAGTCTATAGAGTTTTTTCTCATTTTCTTGATAATATTAATTCTAAGAAGCAACTAGGAACATTTTTTAGTAAAAAGAAAAACGCACTTTTCAATCCACTTTCTTTTATTAGAAACTCATTAAATATTTTAAGTTTTTTAATCAAAATTAACTTCATCATTATCATTCACATCTTCAAAGATGACATATAAGTAAAACAACATAACTTTTAATGATATCAAAAACTTAGATAATTATGTTCTGTTGAATAATTTTATTCAATAAATATCTATAAAAATAAGTTTCTTTTTTGTTTTCATCCAACTATATTTTAAAATTATTTGTATATACTGTTGTTAGTGTTCAGCTGTCCCAGTAAAATGCTTAATTGCAGATCCTTCATTGACTACTTTCAGTGACTACTTCATGTAGAATATACTTACTTAAGCTCTAGACTTTCTTTGTCATTTAATACATATATAAATATATATATATATATATATATATATATATATATATATTTAATTTAAAGGTATAGACTGAAAACTGATGGGTAGAACGTAAGTACATACAATAGAGAAGCCGTTAATTAAAATGAAAGCAAATGTCTCATGCTCCTTTATTTTCAGTTGTTTCCTCAGATGATAACCAGTTATGACGAAAGGATTTTTTATAGTTGAAATTACAAATTTATCCAAGCTAGACCACCATTAAAAACCTGGAAGTACTGGATGGTCGTCTCGTCTTAGTATGGGACTTCTCAGCAATGCACATCCAATACCTTCACATGTGAAAATCGAACCCAGAATCTTCAGTTTCATGGGTGAACGCCTAAATTCTAGACCACTCGATAGTCTAGATTAGATTATTTTCGTGACTTCAACAAACCTCTACAATCTGTCTAAATAGACGGATTTTTTTCATCAGTACACAGAGATTGATTGCTGCATGAAAAATGATAAATCTGAATAATTGAGTTGGGTTTATTAATGCTCTTCAAATCATTTTTAGTTTGTATAGACTCACTGAAATGAAATATACTTACGAAAATTTACATCCTAATTTACTTAATGCTCTATTATTCAAAAATTATTATTGATTAGTTTAAGTCCTTTAGTTTATATTTATTTCTTTGTAACTTAATTGATAAGCATACAAATATATTGATGTGACTCTGTGATAAGAAAAATCTCAATGCATAAAAATGAATAGTTTCCCAATTTACTCTGATCTACTTATAGTTCATTTGTAGTTTGAAAATGCAATTTGTGCATTTACTGTCAATCACATAAAAGGTACAATTCACACTATTTGAGTGAATGCCAATAATTTTTCGAATATAAACGTTACAGATAAGTGCAAGCTGCAATTAGAGCTTCAAAAATAAATTTTGAGTGGTTAGTTCGTTTTTTTTTTAGATTTTTCTCTTAGAAATAGGTCATATGTTTTTTCTCACTTATTCCCTAATTATAATTGTTAAAGTAACAAAACCACTTTTTTTTCACTAACTACTTGACCTTACAGTAATGTAGAGCAAAGTCTTTTAGAATCGAAAAAAATATTATTTTATCAGAAGAAAAAAATGTTGAAAATAAACTAGATTTTATCACTGAATTTACGGCGTAAAAATATCTACATAAAATGAGGAAAACTGTATTGTTTAATCGCCAGCGGTAATCATGTCATCAATCAATATAACTTGATAATTGTTATTCA